GTTTCAGTTGGGGACAGGGGCTGTATTGTTAGGGGACTTAAGTTCATGTATGTTATGGTCTAGCATAAAATTTGTCTTTATTTTGACTCTGTCTTGAAGCTTGTTGGGGATCAAGATTAAAGATAGTAGATTAATGTGTCTGGTGGAGAAAATCTCAAGGTAGCCCAATGTTCAGACTATGCTATGGGTACTTCTGGCTGCTCTCAGACAGATGTAGAGTGTGAATCAGGAGCAGAAAGCACATGTCAAAAGTTTTTGGTTTTTCCAGAAAGAAAGCACCTACAAAGTCGAAGCAAAGGAGAGAGTCATCTCCCAAAAGATTAACATTAAAAAGAAGTTTTTTTAAAAAGTGGAACATCTACTGAGAAAAGCTACAGGCAATGAGAAAGGCACACAAGGGAGGGGGGAATTAAGTACTGCAATAGGAAATCCCATAGAAATGGGGCTACACAAGCCCTTAGGGCTCACATTTCACCACAGCTTTCCCTGGGTGTTGAATGTGGAGCTGTATGATTTAATGTTTGCCTTGCTTGTTTTACTCTTGCTTTGGCCTGCTGTCTTTCTATGCCCCTATTTCTCCTTTTAGAATAGGAATGTTTACCCCATGTCCTTGTACACCGGCAATATTTAACTTTTTTTAGCAGATGCTTGCAGCTAAGACTTTGCCTTGACTCTCAGAAGAGACTTTGGACTTGGACGTTTCAGCAATGTTGGAATTGTTAAGACCTTGGCAACTCTTAGAGATGAACTGAATTCATTTTGTATAATGTGATGCACACAGGGCTTTTGGAAGCTAGGGGCAGAATGTTGTTGTATGGATCTGAACTACCTGCCAAAGTCTCATGCTTTTGGAAGGTGTTTGAATTATGAAGGTACAATAGCTGACTTGCCATGAGGAGGTGGGATTTGGTTGGAGGTGCTTATTAGGGACATGGTTTGGAAAGGTGAATCTCCTTCTCTGGCTCCTACCTTTGCTCTCTGCCTCTGGGCCACTATAACATAAGCATCTTTCCTCTACCCAACCCCTTCCACCATGTTGTTTCTGCCTCTGACCCAGCCAGCTACGGGCTGAAACCTCTAAACACCATGAACCCAAGTAAACCTCTCCTCCTTTAAGCTGTAGTGTGGCTATTGCGTCTCAGCAATGAATAAAGTGCAAAAGACATCTACTGACACATGAGGAAAGTCTGCAAGTAGATATAACTCAGAATTACCACCCAACAAAAAATAAAACAAAGAAAAAGTTCTGGGTTGCTCACAGATTTTTTTTTCTTTCCCCTCTCTTTATGGAGAGAGCTGTTTTTGATGCATTGAACACTAAATCCAAACTTTTTCCTAATTTTAAATCCCCCCAGAGCCTGACCTCTTTCTTCCTACCTCTGTACTGAATCTTGGACAAAACTCCATTGCTTTTCAAATCAGTGTGAGTAATAAAGTGATAGATTCTCTTTTTAGGCTTTAAAGAACAGCACAGGAATGTCAAAACATCAAACTTTCATCCAGTTTAAACCATTACCCTTTTCCCAGATGAGACTGTGGTTTGAGCATCCATAGAATGAGTTTGGATTAATTTCCTTTTTATTTCTCCTCTTTGCTCTTCTGCTCCACCTCCCACAGCCACAGAGCCCCTCTAGAGCTGAGGCAGGGCAGAGAAAATGACAAGAAGGCCCTTTTCTAAGGGGTCCAGAAGAAATATAGATGTATCCTGGGTGCCCAACCTCAAAGTGTGCCCCCCAGGGAGTCGGCGCTGAGCCTTAGATCTACCAGAAAGCAAGCTGAGGCAGTAAGACTTCTGGCCTTTGGATTCCCCATGCCTAGGTCACATTCCACCAACATCAGCCCCCCTCACACTCCAGGAGCCAGACTGGAACATTTCTCATGGAGTCCAGGTGAAAGTGGGTGCAGCTCTAAAGTCCCTTGCATGAGTAGAGGGTGGAAGGTCTTAAGTGCATGGACCACCGTCTCCAACAATATGTTTTTTTACATCTGTCACTCTGTTCCACTAGTTAATAAATTCTAGCTTCATACTGTAGAGACTGAAAATGGGCAGTAGTTAATGGTGGAGAAGTTGCCTCCCACTTGCTCCCGGCAGAGGGTTCATTTCCTGGGCCAAGCTGTATGGGGCTTCATTACTCCTGCATGAGTCTCAGCCTTCAGAGCCTCCACAGAACTGAGAGAGCAGGGCAAGTCGGGCTTAACATCTGTCAAAATGATCACAGAAAACCTCTGCTTGTCATTTTCTTTGCACAAATTCATTAGGTAATAAAAATGCCATATTACCATTTCCAAGATCAATATCACATTTGAAAACCAAGAGGTTCTATTTAGCAATTTCCCAGCATTTGAATAATGTGCTAAAACTTTAGAAAAGTTTCTTGTTATTAGTATAACTAAGAATTAATATGGTTTGAGCATACTGAGAGAACAATGACTAAAACTTAATGGCACCTCTCTCTGGTAGTAATTTGGACAAATAAAATTTTCCTGTCAAAAATGAACACTAGCTCGACTTCTTTTGATGACTCTACTTATGGTTTTGATTTAAAATCGTAAAATAAAACAAAATAGCAATCCAGCCCAAATAACTTTAACCCTAACTTAGCCTTGACATCAAGAAGTTTCTGGCCAGGCATGGTGGCACACTCCTGTAATCCCAGCAATTGGGAGGCTGAGGCAGAAGGATCACTGTGAGTTCGAGACCACCCTGGACTACATAGTGAGTTCCAGAGCAGTCTGAACTACATAGTGAGACCCTGTCTCAAAAAAAAAAAAGTTTTTGAATTTAAATGATAGCTACTTCCTAAAGAGCTGGAAGAGGCTAGACACAGGGCGGGCCTCTTGGTTTTCATTAATGTGTATGAATAATAAAGGAAAAGTGGATTTCATTCTGGAATATTCACATGAGCATGTAGCATACTTTGGTTATTTTTACCTCTCACTTAGCCCTCCTTTTCCCTCCTCTTCTCCAAATTCTCCTCTTCCCTCCTCCTCCTCCTCCTCCTTCTTCTTCTCTTAGAATTCCTTCTACTTTCTTATTGTTGCTCTTTTTTCCATGCCTGTGGTGTGCGTGTGTGTGTGTGTGTGTGTGTGTGTGTGTGTGTGTGTGTGTTTAGATTCCACATATGAGAGGACATAGGTGATATTTCACTTTCTGGGTCTGGCTTATTTTACTTAATGTGATGGCCCCCCAGCTCCACCCATTTTCCTGACAATACCATGATTTCATTCTTCTCTGTGGCTGAATTTATATATGTATCACACTTCCTTTTTTCCATTTACCTGTTGCTGGGCACCTAGGATGTTTTCAGAGTCTGGCTCTGATAAATTGTGGGCCAGTAAACACAGGTATGCAGGTATCACTACAGTATGTTGGTTTTAATTCTTTTGAGTACAGACCGATGATCATTACAGCTCTATTTTTAGGGGTTTTGATGCATCTCCACACTAATTTCTATGGTGTCTGTACTAGTTTACATCCCACAAATAGTGTTTTGTATTCTTGATTAAAATCCATTCTGATGAGGTGAGATGGAATCTGAATGTGTTTTATTTGAATTTCCCTGATGGCTAAAGATGTTAAACCTAGTTCTTCTTATGTGAGATGTCTGTTAAATTCATTGGCCCATTTATTGGTTGGGTTATTTATGTTTTTGCTGCTTTTTTTTTTCTGAGATCTTCATATATTGTAGATACTAATCCTCTTTTGGAAGGGTACCTGGCAAACAATATTGCCTCCCATTCTTTAGTCTGTCTCTTCACTTTGTTGGTTGTTTCCTTTGGTGTGCTGAAATGTTTTAACTTGCTGTAGTCTCACTGCTGAATTCTTCTGTTATTCCTTATGCAATTGGAGTTTAATTCTGGAAGTCATTGTGTTTGTGACTTCGAGTCTTTCTAGCAGTTTCAGAGTTTCCAATACTGTATTTAGGTCTTTGATCCATTTTTGAATTGATTTCTTGTAAGGGTAAGCAATAGGGATTTAGTTCCAATCTTCCACATGTGAACATCCAGTTTTCCCAACACCCACTGTTTCACCACTCTACATTTTTGGTCCCTCTGTCACAAATCAGATGGCTGTAGTTCTATGGGCTAATTTCTGTGCCCTCTATTTTATTCCATTGGCCTCACTGTGCCTGTACTTTCCCATGCTGCATTATGTTTGTGGTTCTATAACAGCCCTATGAAATGACATTATCTCTTTAGGAATATTCTGGGAAGTATTTGGATCACACATAGAAATGTATCCATTACTGATAATATATATGATATTAGACGGCATTCCATCACTGTGATAAAATACTCAAGACAATCATCTTGTAAGGAGGAAAGGTTTCCTTGGGCTCAAAGTTTGGGAGGCACTGTCAGTTAGCCTGTTGCTTTGGGCCTGTGGCAAAGCAAAACATCATGGTGGGAGTGTTCAGAAGAGTGAGCTGCTCATCTTGTGGCAGCCAAGAAGGTAAATACACAAGAGGTGGGGACTCCAGTGTCCCCGTCAAGGGCACAGACACAGTGACATACCTTCCTCCCACCACCTCTCTATCACACTGCAGGCTGGGGACCTCACCTTCAACACACTGGCCTTCAACGATATTTATCCACCCATAGCAAGCATCCTAGGTGGAAACGAACATGCTGCTTGGAAGAGCTGGTGCGCACCAATAGAATTCCCCCACCAGGAAAATGGCCCCAGCAGTTGCATTTACTCAAAATGGCCCCCACACCGGAAATGAGTCATGTCGGGAAATCAAAACTAACTCCCAACAGGAAAACGAAACTTATCCCACCCCACCTCCTTCCCACCAGAAAGTTTTCCCTCCTAACTGTCCTTCTCGCTTCTAAGTCCAAACCCGCCAGTCAGTTCCACCCTCATCAGTAGCACCAACCTATCACCCACTTACACACTACGCTCTCCCAAACCTCTATAAACCTCTCCCCAACTGGGTTCGCTCTCTCTCACCGTTGTTCAAAGCAGCCCTTTCCTGGCAGCTCTTTCCCCTAATAAAGCCTTGACTCAGGTGCTCCTGTTTCGCTCATTTTCTTTCATACACACAGCTAGTTTACAACTGAAATTACACTGCACCTAGGATTTAAGCACAGAAATTCAAGTTTTGTTGAGTCTCAAAATGTTACTGAAAATTGCAAATAAAGCAAAACCATCAAAAGTTACTATAAATAGTAGTTATTGTTTGTAATTCCCCTCAAAACACTCCCCTTGCTTCAAACACACTTCTCCCATCATTCCTGCCACTTTCTGAGGCAGGTCTGGAGCTCTCCTTCAAGAGTGTCTTTAGTTGCACTCTACTTGCTGTCTCAATGTCCTAAATGACCTTTCCTGGACATTTTGACTTTGAAGAAGAACCAGAAGTCACACAATGCCGGATCTGGTGCAAAAAGTGAATAAAGACACCATAATGTTTCTATTTAACAGAAATTGCCACAAATGTTTTGAATCAATTCAGGACATCAAGGCAGCCATGAAAAGTCACAAAAGAAGACTTCTAGACCTGCTTCTGAAAGTGGCAAAAACAGTGGGATAAATGTGTCTGAAGACAGGGGGAGTCTTTGAGGGGAAATAATGCCAACATGTCTTTTAATTTTTAATTTGAACCTTCTTCACAGAAATGTGGTCATATCCCGTAAGGTCACTGAAACCCACCACAAACAGATTGTGTTTCAGAAGGGGGTAGTTGGAGGAGTTCTCCAGGCGTGTGGCTTTGGCAAGAAGTGGGTCCTCCCAGGCAGGAAACTGTCTGGGTTTGGACTGTTTTTTTTAATGCAGTTATGAGTTGTTTATATGGTGAACATGGTAAAAGCAAATCTTGAGGAGAGAACTGCTGTTTATAAGTGAGTTGTTTGCTCAGGCAGGTAGTTACCTCAGACAAACTGGTTAGCAGGAGGTTCCTAAAACAGAGAGTAAGTCATTTGTTAGTTAACATTCTCTTGTGTGGACAAAAGGGGGATGAACTAGTTCATGTTGACCAGGGTGGTCTGAGTTCTCATTCCAAAATTCCAGTCCCCTGGTAGCCACTTGAAACAAGAACCCACAGGAGCAAGACAGCATCTGTCCTGGATAGCCATATGCCTTTTGCCCTGTAAGTTCAGTTCCCCAGCCTCATCCGTCAGGCTTCAGATTGGAAGCCCACCTGACACAGTGTGTGACAGGTGAATGATTGCGTCAACTGGAGAAGTGTGGTCAAGAGAAGTTTAGCTAAATCAGCTCAGAGATTCCATGCCCTAAGGCCTAGGAGATCCACCCCAGGGCAGCTCCACCTGGATGGTACAAAGGGGAAATGAGGAAGCACTCAGCTGCTTCTACTTCTGGTGGCAGGAACTTCACCTCCTGCCCTGCAACACAGACTCTCCAGCCTCTGGCATGGACTCTTCCATCACAGACCCATCCACCTCCCTATGCAGACCCCACAGGACACTTCAGTGAGCTCCAGACCTCAGCTGAATTCTGCGGTCTCCAGTGTGCAGATGGAACCTCTTGCACTCTTCCTCGTCCAACCCTGTGGCCGGCCATTGTGAGCCAGTCCTGTAAATTCTCATGTATATATTGATATATCTGTGTTATATCTGTTTCTCTAGTAAACACTGACTGATACACAGTGAAAGGGTATCAGGTGGCTCTCACATGCCTTAAATGCCTATTGAACCAGGCTCTTGACAAAACCATGATCTGCACAATGCAGGCAGCGTCTCAGCAGGACCGGTCTGCTTGTGTGTGGCTGGGAGACAACGGACACCCCATGCCTACAGTGGCATCACCGTGCTGGCCACCTGCCTGGCTGCCTCTCACAGATGCCCAGGTACAAGGTAGAGCCCTGCTTCCCACCCATCTTAAGACTCCCCCCAGTGTGTGGTGTTTAAATAGTGAACCACTTCAGTGACAAATCTCCACAGTGATGACACATTTGTACCCCTCTGTGCACATCCCCCTCTTTCTTATCTGCCACTTCAATTTGTAGTGAAAATGCTTTAGGTCCTAACAGCTCCCTACATGCCATCGGGAAACTGTGAACATAGTGTTCCTTTTCTGCTAGTTCTAAATATGTTCAAAACACCAGAATGTACCCATACTACCTCAGATTTGTGGGGGGAAAAGTATTTGTGAATATGTAGGCAGAACAGAGTGAAACTTCAAAATGAAAATTTGTGTATAGCCTCCTACTCATTTTAATAAAAACAACGATATTCACATGTGTTGGGACAGATTGCTAATAATGCCAGAGACTGGGAGAGAGAGCAAGAGGTGGAGGGCTCCCCAGACACCTGCTACCTCTTCTCACCAGGAGCATGAATGAGACTCTGAATGTGCAATCCTGTGTACAGTAGGAGTCCAAGTGGAAGAGAGGGTGCAGAGATTTTGTGGGGAACTCAAAGGGAAGGGACCCCAACAGTAGAAAAGTTTGACATTTTTAAAGGAGCAAAAGCACAAAGTAACAGGACACAGCCAAGTCCTAGGAGTCTGTTAATCAGTGAGTTTTCTGATTCCCAAATGCTGTTGCAGTGAGAAGGTCAAGTGGAAACCAAAAGGGGAAAATTGTGAAGTATTTAACAAAAAATGGTCATGTAAATTAAAAATACAAATACATGGTCTAAAAGTACACATTTTATAATAATATAATAGCATATATATAATATATATGCTGATGGGGGTAACTAAATTGACCAACAAAAAAGGGAATAGGAAGGACATGTAGTGAGAAAAGGGAATGGATGATGCGTGGATGGGTGGATGGGTGGATCGGTGTGCGAATGGATGGGTAAATGGGTGGATGGTTGGGTGGATAGATTGATGGATAGATGGATGGATGGATGGATGGATGGATGGATGGATGGATGGATGGATGGATGGATGGATGGATGGATGGATGGGTGGATGGTTGGGTGGATGGATTGATGGAAAAATGGATGGATGGATGAATGGATGAATGGATAGATGGTTAGGTGGATGGTTGAGTGATGGTTGGGTGGATGGATGGATGGATGGATACATGGTTGGATGGATGGATTGATGGAAAAATGGATGGATGGATGAATGGATAGATGGTTGGGTGGATGGTTGGATGGACAGATGGATGGATGGATGGATGAATGGATAGATGGTTGGATGGATGGTTGGATGGATGGATGGCTGAGTGATGGTTGGGTGGATGGATGGATGGATAGATGGTTGGGTGGATGGTTGGATGGATGGATGGATGAATGGATAGATGGTTGGGTGGATGGTTGGATGGATGGATGGTTGAGTGATGGTTGGGTGGATGGATGGATGGATGGATAGATGGTTGGATGGTTGGATGGATGGATGGATCAATGGAAAGGCAGGTATAAAAACAGAAAGGACTAGGATGTATCACTGCTAATAATAATCCATGAACTACAGAGTAACTTTTTGCACCTGAGGATTAAGAAGAAAATTAGTATATTTGGGATAACAGTGCAGTCCTTCCCTGACTTAATTTGGTGAAAACTACAGCCAAAAGCAGAAGGGACCAGCAAGCACATTACCCTTCCTCACCCTTGCAAACTTCCAGCTTGGTTCAGAGGAACATGGATTTCCCACCACATGTAGGTTGAGATTCTAACCAATTTTCTTGAATCTTCAAAGACAAATGACCTCATCTGACATCTGGTGTTCGTGCCTGTCTGTGTGTGCGTGCGAGTTTGTGTATGTGAGCATTTGTGTGTGCAGAGAAGCAAAAGCTGAATGGAACGTTTGAAGCTATGAGTAATGGTTGTCTCAGGACAGTGGGAAAGGTTGAGGAGGGATTTCAGTCTTGTTTTACAGTCTGTTTAAAAAGTGTCCAAAGAACATGCATTATTTTTGTAAGGACTTCAAACCTACTCATCAGCTAGATTTAGTTCTGGGAAGCACTTCTTCATTTTGTTTGCAGGATTTGGATGTGGCTTTAATGTTTGATAATTCCCCACTGGTTTCATTGTTGGGCCAGTAAAGAGGATGAAGAGTTGAAGAAAATCAAACCATCTCCTCACAGTTGGGGTTCCTTAACAAACTTTCATACATTTTTTAAATAACAACACGACAGCATTGGATTCTGACTATTCAAGACATCTAAGTATTGGTAAAATAGGCCACTTAATCCAGCGCTGGAAATTCTGGGAAAACTGAGCGATTTAGTCAACACTATAAAGGTAACAGGAACTTTTAAATACATCTGCTTCAGAAAGTCCTGTAAATAACATATTCCGTGAAAGACACCTTAGATTTGTATGCCCTGGGCCAATTTCTACATACTCTGTGGCTGAACTTTGTCTTGCTTCTTATTTTCTCCCTTCCACATGCAACACCGAACTAAGAGCTCGGGACAGTTAACTCGAGCGGAGCGTGCGGCCACATGGAAGAGGCAGCAGCGCGATGGGCTCATTGTCCACACTGAGTTGGGGTGTGGGAGGGACTCTGGGTCCCCGGGTGTTAGCAGTCACAGGACCAGAGTTTTCCCAGTCTCGACTCCTACACAACACCCAAGAACCAGCTGATACCCACATCCCAGAGTTGCACAGCAGAGCCCCGTCGTTAGGCAACTCCAAATGTGTCACTGGGCAGAACTCGGTCATTGGAAATCTCAGCTTCTCTGAGCCAGATGTCAGTGGTTTTGTGGCTGATTGCACAAGAGTCCTGGGAATTGAGGAATCGGCGTCTGTTTTGCTACAAGGCTGCAGCTCAAACAGTGCTTCTCTTCCTTGAGCCTGTTCTCTGTCTTTAGCTTCAAATATAGACGTATTTTGTACTCAACAGAATTACTGTGTTTGTTTCCTAGAGCCCCAAAAGTTATCAGTTTTTTAAGAAAAGTCACCTGGCTATGTTGAAAAATACCATCCAATTTTCTTGGCTTCCTGTCTGCAATTGAAAATATTTCATTATAGACCACTTTCTGAGAAGTCTAATAAAAATCATATTGGACATGTTTATGTCTTTTCACACATCCAAAATTAACATAATTCATATTTCCTTCATCCAGCCCATATAGATTCACATTTCACAGGAAAAATTGAGGCTTGCTCACAACTTCCCTTTATGACTTTTTCTTTCTTATTTTTTTTATTTTTTGGGGGGCAGGAATCAAACTCAGGTCCCTGTGCTTACAAGGCAGGCAGTGGCACCACTGAACTAAATCCCCAGCCCTATGACTTTTTTCTTAACTGTAATATTTATATTACTGTTTATATCAGTATATTTCTTGTTTTTGTGTACACTACCATAATTTACATTAAAAAAAACCAGCAAGGTGGCACAGGTCTGAAGTCCCAGCTACTTGGAAAGCTGAGGAAGAAGGATAAACAACCCCATGAGTTCAAGACCAGCCTGGACACTATGCTGAGACCCATCTCAAAAAATAAATAAATACATGGAAGTACTCTGATTTTTAAAGTAGATTTGCTGAGATTTAGTTTGAATACAGTAAATCCACCCAATGCAGATACACCAGTCCCCGTGTTTTGACAAATACATGGTTGACCAGTCCCTAACAGCAATTAAGATGTAGAATCCTTCTACCCCACCAAAGTTCCCTTGAGCCCATTTCTCATCAGGCTCCTCGCTCCTGCTCTGGGCCCTAAAACTGCATATCTGCTTTTCCTTCTAGGCTTTCCTTTCCTCAGTCATCACAAACACCAAGTCAGACTTACAGCTCTTCAAGTCCAGCAGAATGCTTTTGAGAGTCATCTGTATCTGTGCACATCTCAGTAAGTCATTCCTTCTTGCTGCTGCCTCATATTCAGTTGCATTGGAGTATGAGAGCTTCTTTTTTTCCATTAAGTTTGTTGGTACCTGTTAGGTATACAGCATAGGTACATTCGTCATTGGGATCTTGTACCTCTTTACATGATGTATCTTGGTTCTTATTTTCCCCCATTCCCCTGCCCTCCCTTCAACCCCTCCGCCCTTTCCTATTTACAAAGACTTTGTTTCCATTTTTTCCTTTCCTCATATTTTTTCTTTCCCCTTATTTCCTTTCCCCTGCCCTTCCCACTTCCCCTATACCTTTAGCCCTTTTCTTCCTATTTCACATTGTCAATTATACCATTTGAACCTTATTCACACTTTTAGCTTTTCACACCAGAGAAACTATTTGATATTTACACGTGTGTCTTATTTATTTCATTTAAAAGGATGGCCTCAATATGCATCCATTTTCCTATGAGTGACTCTAATTTTTCATTCTTTATAGCCAAGTAGTACTCCATTTCATAGAAAAACCACATCTTCTTTATCCAGTCTCCAGTTGATGGGCAATTGGGCTGTTTCCAAGTTTCGGCTATTACAAACTGTGCTGCTATAAACATGGGTGAGCATATATTGCTGTGGTGTGATTCTTTTAATTCTTTTGGAAAGATACCCAGAAGAGGGATAGCTGGATCAAATGAGACGTCTAATCCTAGTTTTTTGAGATATCTCCATATTGATTTCCACAGTGATTGCACCAGTCTGCACTCCCACCAACAATTGAAGAAGGGTTCCTTTCTCCCCACAACCCCACCAGCACTTGTTATTGGTTGATTTCTTGATAGCAGCCATTCTTTCTGAGGTAAGGTGAAATCTCAGCTTTGTCTTTATCTGCATCTCTCAAATGACCAGTGATGTTGAACATTTTTTTTCAAATATTTATTTGCTGCTTTTACTTGTTTGTCAGAGAATTATCTGTTCATTTCAGATGCCCATTTTTTAATTGGGTCTTTATATTTGGGGATCTGATTTTTTTGAGTTCTTTATATATTCTAGATAGTAGACCTTTGTCTGAGGAACAGCTGATAAAATTTTTTTCTCACATTGTAGGTTGCCTTTTAGCTCTGTTGGTGGTTTGTCTTGCAGTACAGAAACTTTTTAATAATATGAGATCCCAGTTGTTGATTCTTTTTGCTAGTTCCCGTGCTACTGAGGTTTTGTTCATAACGTCATTTCCTATGCCAATGTCTTCAAGAGTTCTACCTAACTTATCTTCCAGCAAGTTTAGTGTTTCTGTTTTAATATTTAGATCTTTAATCCACTTCAATTTTAGTTTAGTGCATGAGGAAAGATAGAGGTCTAGTTTTAATATTTGACAGGTTGAAATCCAGTTTTTCTAAAACAACTTATTAAAGAGGCTATCTTTCCTCCACTGAGGATGTTGGCTCTTTTATCAAAGATGAGGTAGCTGAGTATGCCTGGAGTAGTTTCTGTATCTTCTAATCTATTCCACTGATCCTCAGGTCTGTTTCTTTATTAGTACCATGTTGTTTTTATAACAGCGGCTTTGTAGTATAGTTTCAAGTTGGGATTGTGATACCCCCTGCCATGTCTCTGTTTCCTAGAGTGGCTTTTGCTATTCTAGGTCTCTTTTGGTTCCAAATGAATTTTTGGATTGATTTCTCTAGTTCTGTGAAATATACTGTTGGAATTTCAATCAGGAATACATTGAATCTATACAGCAGATTGGAAATCTGTACCAGATTTGGAAATATGGCCATTTTCACTGTTTGTTCTTCCTACCCAGGAGCAAGGAGCTAGGCTGCTACCCCTACTTCAGCACCCTGGGCCTCCAAGCGGTACAGATGGATGAGGAGTGGAGCTACACAGGCACCCCCATAGCATCACCCCAGTGCCTCCCCACCCCTGCCTCTGGTCTCATGGCTGTGCCAGTACCTGGATCCACACTGCAGAGGCATAGGGGGTCATAAAGGCCACTGTCCTGAGCTCCAGAAGACAGAGCAGAAGTGAACCACAGAAAGAGGGCCTCTCTCAGGCTCCTTGATGAACACGGAAGCCCGCTGGGAAAGGGAGGAGAATCCCTGCAGTAAAGGCACCAGACCTCTGTGGTTGGTGAGTTGGAGAGATCACCACCTCCCGTCAGAACCTGGTCAGTCCTTAGGGGAAGGGCAGCTGGAACCTGCAGTAGAACCTTGCAGAGTTCAACCCTGCAGAAGGTCAGGGAGCTGAACTAGGGCCTTGCAGCCAGAAATCAGCCTGAATCTCAGTGGTCTGCTGCTGGCTTGCTGAGGCTAATTGGCTTAGATCTGCACGCTGCTGCCCACATTGTCTACTGTGACAGCAGAGACACTCTGAGGAGGCCCTACATTTTTATTTTTTATATTTTAAATTATTTCCCCCCTTATTTTTAATTTTCTTTTTTCCCCCACTCTTTTCAGTTTCTTCCTTTTTTCTGTCTTCTTTTTCCTTTTTTTTCTCTTTTCTTTCTCTTTCCTACTCAATCTCTTGCTATCCCACATTGTTCTTCATCTCCCTTTTGTTCCTGTTCTGGACCTAGTTGAGATTTCTTCTCTCTTTTTCTTTTCTTCTCTCTTTTTCCTTCTCTTGAGAACTTCTTTGCTTACCAAATTAGAGATATTTTATTCATTTCCAGCTTGGGCCAATTAAGAACATAGACCCAACAGGTAACTCTTCATCCCTGAATCCTAAAATGGTGTACTTCAACTCCACAGAGTGGCCAAGCTATTTTCTAAAAAAGGTGTGATAGAATACACCTCAGACTTGCCATCTTAGCTGTCTTTATTCTTACAGCTCAGTGGTACCAAATACAATCACAATGTACACCTCTCACCACTGATCTACCTCTGTGGCTCTTTTGATGTTGTAGAACCCAAACTCGATTCCCATTTGATGATAACTCTCTTTCTACTGCACCCTGCAGCCCCTAGAGACCATCATTCCACTTTCTGTCTCTGTGACTTGACTCCCTCTGCATTTCATGTAAGTGAAGTGATACAGCACGTGTCTTCTGTGATTGAATTATTTCACTGAACATCATGTCCCCTTAACACATTGGATCATCCACCTTGTAGTCCATGATAGAAGGTTCAACTATGTGTAGCTAGAGCAGAACTTCCTGTCTTTTTAGGATGAAAAATATTCTGTTATGTATACCTCACACATTGCTTTTCCACTCAACTGTGAATGGACCCTTGGGTTGCTTCCATATTGTACTTACAGCAGATCATGTTGCTAAGAACTTGGGTATACAAATAATCTCTCCATGATCCGCCTTTGATTTTTCAGCTATAGTCCCAGAAGTAGAGTTTCTGGATCATTCGGTAACTCTATTTTCAATTTCTTCAAGGAACCACTACCCTGTTTTCAACAGTGGTGGTGCCATTTTACATTTTTAGCAACAATATGCAAGAGTTTCACATTCTCCACATCTTTGTGATATCTTTTCTTTTCTCTTCTCTTCTTTTCTCCCCCACCCCCACAGTAGTGGGAATTGAATTCAGGGTATTTGAACTGAGCTACATCCCTGGCCCTTTGTTTGTTGTTTGTTTTTTTGTTTGTTTGTTTTGAGACAGAGTGTTGCTAAATTGCCCAGGCTGGTCTCCAGCTTGTAATCCTTCTATCTCAGCCTTCCAGAATGCTGAATTATGGGTGTAGACTGCCATGATCAATTTACTGTCTTGATATTGTCTTTCATGGACTATTTTTTAAAATATTCTTATGATGTTTAATTTGTCTAGTTTCTTGTTTTGCTTTTACCTTTGAGTTTATATCCAAGAAGTCATTACTAAAACTAGATATTAAAGTTTTATTCTATGTTTCTTTATAAGAGTTGTGGGTGTTTTGGTTGTACATTTAGGTATTTGATCCATTTTGAGTTAAATTTTGTATGTGGTGTTAGTCAAGGGTCTACATTTAATCTTTCTCATGTGGAAACAGTTCCCCAGAACCACTTGTTGAAAAGATTGCTCTTTTTCCTATTGAATGATCTTGGCACCTTGTGAGAAATTGTTTGACCATGTACACAAGGATTTATTTCTGGAACCTCTGCTTAGTTCCGTTGCTCTAGATATTTGCTTTTATTCCAGAACCACACTGTTGATTAATGGGACTTCACCACAAGTTTTAAAATTGGGAAATGTGAGTCTTCTAGCTTTGTTCTTATTTTAAGAGTTGTTTTGGATATGAGGTCCCTTGAAAATCTATGTTAATTTTAAGATAGATTTTTCTATTTCTTCAGAAAATGTCTTTGGAGCTTTGATGGATGTTGCTCAGACTATGTAGATCACTTGGATAGTAATAACATCTAAAGCATATTGAGTATACCAATCGGTGAACAAGACATATGTTTCCACTTATGTATGACTCATTTTGTTTTTGTCAGCAATGTTTTGCAGTTTTCAGTATACAAGTTTTTTGCCTCCTTAAGTTAATTCCTATTTTATTCTTTTTGATGTTACTGTGCATGAAATTCTTTTCATAATTTCCTTTGAAATTGTTGTTATGAGCGAACAACAAAACAACTTAATTTTGGTGTTGACTGTGTCCTGCTATTTTTCTGAATTACTTTATTCATTTATTACTTCTGTGTGTATGCGCATGTGTGTAAACAGGATTTTCTATACAGGTGTGATCATATCATCTGAAAACAGAGATACGTTTACTTGTCCTTTCCAAATTTATGTGTTTATTTGTTTCTTCCTGGTACTGGGGTTGAACCCAGGGCCTTCACACTGAGCTACATCCCAGACCCTTATCTCCTTTTTAATGTTGACACAGAGACTTGCTAAAAATTTCCAGGCTGGGCTTGAACCTGTGATCCTTCTGCCTCAGTCTCTGAGAACACTGGGACCAAAAAGTGCACCACCATGCTGTTTCTACTTTGATTATTTTCTTTTTTGTTTGGGGTCATGGAATATAAAGAAATGGGCATTATATCTCATTCAAAGGAGAAAAAAATCAAGAGAAACTGTCTCTGCAAAAAAGACCTGATGTCAAATCTGCTAGACAAAAAGTTTAAAAATATTTTAAAGATGCTCCAAGAACTAAAGAAGGATGGGAGAAAA